CATTACTTTTGTTTCTGTGTAATTAATTTATTATGATTATTACTTTTTAAACTACTAATTAACTTAAAAAATTAAGTATCTAAAGTTAAAGTTTAAAAGAATATTTATTAAAAATATATCTTTTTTATGTAAACATATAAAAAATATTTTCCTATATTTTATTTTAGTTATAAAAATTAGATAAAAGAAAGTTTTATACAAACTAGTTTTCCGTCTTAAACTTTATTTGGAAAATTATTTTCCCCTTTTTTTTAACTTTTTCAAGCTCTTGCTAACGAGCTAGTTTACCAATTTGAATGATAATATTTACAAAAATGGATTATTTACAAATACAAGGCTGCCTGAGTTTTTCTTTTTTAACATTCCCTGAATTTTCCTGGTTTTCCAAGTAAAAAAATTACTTTTTCCCTGACTTGCATTCATTATAAAAATAGCGAAATATAGCATATTTATAGAAAACTAATTTTTAAGTACTGTATTATAAAAAATAAATAAAGTCTTATTTTTAAAGATATGGTCCTTAAAATTTTTTTATGGTTTTGCATAGTTATCATTTGCATTCAAAAATAGCGTAAAGTTCGTCTTCATTTGAAATTATTATAAAATTCCCGGTTTCTCGTCATTTTCCCTGACTTTTCACGGTTTTCCAGAGCCTTTTGTATTTCCCTGATAATTCCCGGTTTTCCAGATATGTGTCGACCCTGAAACAATTAAGTAATTTATTTTTTCAAATGTAGAATCACAAAAAAAGAATTTAAAAAATTTGTTTTCTAATTAACCTTAGCATTATTTACGCAAGCTTGATTTACTCTTTCTGTACAACGAATTCTATGCGTTTATTATAAAATTAAAATATTTATTCTTATTTATTCATTTAATTTTATTTTGGAATTTAAAAAATTTATATATTTATTTTTCAGCTTCCTACTATTTTTACTATATTTAAAATGTGAATTATTTATTGTTGGTAATTGTTTAAAATTAGATTTTACTATTATGTAAATAATTGTTAATAGAATTTCAGGTATCATATTATTAATTGGTAAGTAAACACCTTAATTTAATAATTAATTAATTATAATATTTAGGGAAAAATTCTATTTAACTTAAGTTAACCTCAAAATCAAATGACAATTTTTTTATTTTCTTGTTTAAAAAATTAAAATTAAAATTACATCCATGTTAAAGTATTTTTCTTGGATAATACAAATTACAGAAATACGTAGCTGAAAAAAATATTTATCTGTTAAAATTTTTCAATTTGTTTGTAAATTAATTTTAAAAAATCTTTTCATTCACGTGATAGTCACGTCATTTGTGCGCTTAAATTTAAATTCTTCAAAAATTCCATTAATATTTTAAAAACTATTTTATTTACAAATATTTAAGTAATTAATTTTTTTAATTGTGGATTCACAACAAACGTTTAATAAAAATGTTTTTCCACGTAAGACGGATTCAATGCATCTATTATAAAATTAAAATATTTATTCTTATTTAGTCAATTTAAAAAAGAATGTATTAAATATGTATCTAGTTTATTAATTCTATTTTTTATTGGGATGGAAAGAAGAAATATATTTCTTAGCTTCTTATTATTTGTTCGCTATTTAAAATGTGAGATATTTATTGTTAGTAAATTATTGAACATAAAATTTCATAATTGTGTAGGTAATTGTTAATATATTTGCAGGTATAAAATTATTAATTGATAAGTAAATATATATGACCTCAAAATCAAATAACAATTTTTTTATTGTTTAAAAAATTAATTAATTAATCAATTTTAAAATTGCATCCACGTTAAAACATTATGCGTATTCAATAATGTAAATTGCGCAGGAATATGTAGCTAAGAAAATTATTTTTTACCTGTTTACATTTTTTAATTTGATTGTAAACAATGTGGTTTATGGTCAAGTTTTTGTCACCCGAAATTAAACCGGAATAATTCAAATTCTATACGGTCTGTGAAAAACTAGTGAAACCGGAGTTGGTCCGATGAAGTTCGAAATTAATCAGTTTATTTTAACTAGTAAATCCGGAATTAGTCCGAAACAGTTAAAAGTTAGTCCGGATAATTTAGTGAATGTTAATAAAAAATAATTATAGAAGTTACACATATTAATTACAATTACTTTTTAGCACATTGAAAATATTTTTCGATTTACCTATCGCAATACCGTTTTCTATGACTATTGAATCCGTCATTAGTCCGGTTTAGTCTGCAGTTAGTCAGATCATATGCAACTAGTAAATTTAGAAGTAATCCGGTTGGTTTAACCAGTGAATCCGCAGCTAATCGGAAGCAGTCTGCTTATGGACAGGTTTTTGTCGCTCAGAATTTTATATATTTACAAATTCTTAAAATAATAAGACTTATTTTCAGATTGGGGTGTTTTGATCGGATATTATTCGGATTGGCGCTGACTATTACCGGATTCTTTGTATACAGATTTTGGATTGTTCCATACTTGTTTCAGATTAAATCTTTTAACTATTAAATTCAGATTATTGCGGACTGATTTTGTATTCTTTTTTTTTTATTGTTTATACTCCTGCCCTATTGGCCTTACGCACTTCGACAAGAGTCCCCGAGAAATACTTTTTTGGATTAAGCATAACCATTCTACTTTAGAAATTTTCTATATATTAACCTAATTTTGCGTCTACAGCCGACTTTATTAGGAGTACTCGCATTACGCCTGGACCACCCGTCAATGGGTTTTCTCGCCAGAGAAGAGGAAAACTGTAGAAAACCTCTCTGAGTACAACCGGTTTATCGACAGTCGAGTTCTAATGGTGTGTACCGGACAATAATCGACGGTGCACATCATTATACCTCGACGTCAAACGTTAGATTAACGCGGATCATTTACGAACAATTATCGGAATAATCCACACTAATATTTCCTGATTTAATCCGGATTAGTCCGAAATTTTTACCAGGTATATAATATCATTCGGGTGGTCGTCTATTACCGGATTTTTAGCATTCATATTTCGTATTTGTTTCGAAATATGATTTTACCACACTAATTCCTAATTGAAGCGGACTAATATTGGATTATTTCGTATTTGTTTCGGATTATACCTTTTAATTGGATTAAATCCTGATTGTTGCAGACAATTTTCGGATTTTTAGTATACAGATTTCGGATTGCTTCGTACTTCTTTCTGAATAGGATTTTGCAAAACTTTTTTTCAAATTGTTGCGGACTAATACAGGATTTCTTGCTTACAGAGTTCGGATTGCTCCGGACATTATGGGGATTAAGTTTTTTTTAACTACATTAAACTCAGATTGCTGCTGACTGATTGCTTATTCTTTACATATTGATATCGGATAATTCCGTAATTATTTTAGAAGAATTCTTCAACGGTCATAAATTTGGATTGTTGCGGACTAAAAACGGACTGAATTCGTAGACATTCAGGATTACTCCGGAGTGTTTTCGGATTCAGGTTTTCGATCGGATTGAGATAAGACTAGCGCAGATCATTTTCGGACCTTTTTGTACAATTTTTGGATTAATACGTACTAATCTGTCCGTATTTAATCCGGAATTTTTACCAGGGTTGTATTCACGCCATCTACGGGTTTAAATTTCATTCAATTTTTTCAAAATTCTGATCAATATTTATAAAAATATTTTGTTTATATGACAATTTTTTCATTTCATATTTGAAAGAATTACAATTGCACTTATTAAAATTTTATGTTTTGATCAATACAGATTTATTTATTTGAATAAAATAATTAGTACAATTCATGCTTCTTCAACTGAAGAAGAGATGTCTGTGCATTGTAGAGGCGATCTGGGTGGTGTTAGATATTCTTGAGATGGTGAAGACCTTGGCGAGTAGTAGAGCTACACGGGTTCTGGCTCAGTTACCGACCGTCGGTAAGGTAGATTTCCCAATAGCTCACTTTCAGATGGGTTAGAAGGGATGTTCTGTTTTACCGACCGAGTTTTAGTACCGGCCGCCACCGCTAGATGGCGCCACTTTATTTTTTTGTTTAATTTAAACCCCCTTAGAGGGGTATTAAAATTTTTATTTTTGAATTTTCAAGTGGGATAGAAGGGATGTTCTGTTTTACCGACATCTGAGTTCCGGCTGCCACCGAGAGATGGCGCCACATGTAAATTCTGACCCCTTGGCAGGAAATTTAAATTTTTTATTTTTAAACTTTCAAGTGGGTTAGGATGGGTGTTCTGTTTTACCGGCAACTGACTTCTGGCTGACACCGAGAGATGGTGCCGCAGCTCATTTTAAAACCCCCTTGGCGGGGTATTTAAATTTTATTTTAATTCTGTTGGTGTGGAGTGATTTTAAATTTCGCGCTTAAATTGACAGCAAATTCAGTTCGAGCTGTTACCAATAGATGGCGTTATTATTTTACTCTTTCAAATTTAAATATATATATTTTTTTAATTTTACGTTGATACAATAATATCCGCGGTATTTTTTTGTTATATCAGATAAGACTATTTAATTCTAATATCCATATTAAATTTTAGTTTATTGTATTGAATATCATTATTGAATTTAAATAATTGACATGGTAAACAATATTATTTATGTGCTTCTGTTTTAGTTATTGTTTAAATTTCATTTCACTTAATTATAATTTTAGTTTATTTATTTATTGTATGGTATTTTTTAAATAGCCAATAATGATATTCGTTTGAAATTCAAACCCGATTCTATTGGTGGGAAAATTGGAATAAAAGCCAACTTTGTAAAAATTAATTAAGTTGGCAGCAGTGCTACCTTGTGATCTCTCTACCTCCTGTCATTAACAGTCGAATGTTAGAACCGTGTGCTTTAAAAACGTGTGCTTTAAAACGTGTGTTTAAAACGTGTGCTTTAAAATTATTCTTTGAAAAAATAAAAATGGTATGTATAAATAAAAATTAGAAGTATTTATATTGATGTAATATTAATGAATTAATTAATTAATTAAATCATTCATATATATTTTTTTCTTATTGCAGAACTTTAATCCACCACTCTTTTGCCGTTGTTGTTTTTGCCGCTACATGGCCACAATAACATTGGTAAATATTTAAAATAATCATGTGTTTTATTTAAAATAAATTGATGTAGGTATTAAATTATCTGTAATAAATGTGTTTAATTTTTTTTCAGGTAAATCCTGGAACGTGCCAATGGAACTCAAATGTTGTACCTCAGATACAATATCAACAACCACCAAGGGCATACTCGAGGCCAATAATGAGACCTTCAACCATTCAAAATAATAGTGTCATCCAAACAATGAATGTATCGAGGACTCTGGAAATAAGAAAATCAAATGATAACGATGTGAGTTAAAATCAATTTCTTTTAAATTAAATATAAAGTTTAGTCTTTCAAATATTTTTCTATCTTACATTATTTTGGTCAATTTTTATCATATTAATTTTTAATTTCTATTTTATAATTTTTCTTAATCTTAATATTATTTCATTAATTTTTTAATTTACATTTCAATATTTTTATTCATATTATTTTTTAATATTTTTTTTTATTGTTTTTTAATTTACATTTTATATTTTTTTATTAATATTATTTTAGTCAATTTTTGTTAATATTATTTCATCATTTTCTTTTTTTTTTTAATTTACATTTTTTTTTATTATTACTAGTTTGGTCAATTATTTGTTGTATTTATTTTTTATATTTTTTGTTAATTTTATTTTGATCAATTTTTTGTTGTATTTATTTATTTTTTATATTTTTTGTTAATTTTATTTTCGTCAATTTTTGTTGCATTTATTTTTTATATATTTGTTAATATTATTTTCATCAATTTTTATTATTGTTATTCTTTTATTTTTATTTTCCAGTTCATAATTTTTCTTAGTATTAATATTATATCATCAAATTTTTATAATATTTATTTTGATAGTAAATTCTACATTTTCTTTATTTTATTCTGACATACTATTCTTTATACTTAAATTTTTTCACTAATTTAACAAATTTAATATTTATAGGAGAAAGAAAATGTACAATGCCGAAAGTCTCGATGGGAACCAGCTGATGACTGAGTTCTAATATTGGAAAAAAAACCATCTGCAAAAAAGTTGGAACAGTCAGCTCCATCAACTTCAGCAGTGAGATCACCGCCTACTTCAAGTTCCTTAATTTTGGAAAAGAAAAAGTTAGAACAGTCAGCTCCATCAACTTCAGCAGTGAGATCACCGCCTACTTCAAGTTCCTTAATTTTGGAAAAGAAAAAGTTGGAACAGTCAGCTCCATCAACTTCAGCAGTGAGATCACCGCCTACTTCAAGTTCCTTAATTTTGGAAAAGAAAAAGTTGGAACAGTCAGCTCCATCAACTTCAGCAGTGAGATCACCGCCTACTTCAAGTTCCTTAATTTTGGAAAAGAAAAAGTTGGAACAGTCAGCTCCATCAACTTCAGCAGTGAGATCACCGCCTACTTCGAGTTCCTTAATTTTGGAAAAGAAAAAGTTGGAACAGTCAGCTCCACCAACTTCAGCAGTGAGATCACCGTCTTCTTTAAACTCCTCGTCTTCTTCAGGTTCCTCATCGTCTTCTTCAAGTTCCTCGTCGTCTTCTTCAAGGTCCTCGTCTTCCTTAAGTTCTTCGACTTCATTATCGTCAACAAATTTAGCGTCAAATTCAACGCCAAATCAGCCAACGATGTCGAAAACAAATTTAGCGTCAAATTCAACGCCAAATCAGCCAATGATGTCATCAACAAATTCAGCGTCAAATTCAACGCCAAATCAGCCAACGATGTCATCAACAAATTCAGCGTCAAATTCAACGCCAAATCAGCCAATGATGTCATCAACAAATTCAGCGTCAAATTCAACGCCAAATCAGCCAACGATGTCATCAACAAATTCAGCGTCAAATTCAACGCCAAATCAGCCAACGATGTCATCAACAAATTCAGCGTCAAATTCAACGCCAAATCAGCCAACGATGTCATCAACAAATTCAGCGTCAAATTCAACGCCAAATCAGCCAACGATGTCATCAACAAATTCAGCGTCAAATTCAACGCCAAATCAGCCAACGATGTCATCAACAAATTCAGCGTCAAATTCAACGCCAAATCAGCCAACGATGTCATCAACAAATTCAGCGACAAATTCAACGCCAAATCAGCCAACGATGTCATCAACAAATTCAGCGACAAATTCAACGCCAAATAAGTCGACTTCAAGACATACGACTTCGAGAACAATTTTGATTGAAGACGAGTATTTGTGTAAAAAAAAATTAACTCGTCCAAAAAAAGTTGCCACTGGTAAGAGACGAAATCCAAGTCATGAAAAAGAAGTACCAAAGAAAAAAAAGAAATAATTTTCCATTCTTTGTTTAAAAAGAAATATTTAAGAGGTATAGTTTTTGGACGAGTCAAACCTTATTTTTTACATTCCTTTTTTTTTTAAGTTCATTTTTTAAAATTCTTTAAAAATAAACTATTTTTAAACTGTCTGAAAGTGTCATTTGAACATAAAATTTAATATTTTGTTTATTTGTTTTTGTTTTAACGTTTTTTAAGGTTTTGAAAATTTTTTCCTGTTAAAAAAAATAAATTTTGTTATCTTTACACAAATAGAAACAATGTGACACTAAGTTAACAATTTATATATATATATATGTATATTATATTATTATAAAATAATAAAGAAACATTGCGACTGTATAATTATTCATTTATTCACATTTTAAATTTAAAAAAAGTCAAATCATATATAAAATTTGTTTTTATAATTGAAATGTTTATTCCAAGCAATCTATTTTATCTCTCAATTAAAATATTAATATTCTTCAAAATAACTTTACACGAATCAAATTTTAAAGTTTCAAATTAGAATTTCAACTTGACAAAGTTGTGTTTAATAATATCTTTCTTATAATTAAGCATATGTTACGTTTTTGTAATAATTCTCATTTTTAAAAAATTATTCTGAATTTTACAACTTTGAATTTCTAAAAGTAGGATAATTTGTTACTTGTTCATATTAAATTAATTGAAAAAGTATGTTTAAAATTATGCATTTTAAGTAATGTAATTGATATATTAATTATCATTATTTTATTGTTATTAAATATACTAATAAAAATTATTATTATTATTATTATTATTATTATTATTATTATTATTATTATTATTATTATTATCTACAATGAATATATGGATATATTCAAAAACTCCGCGTATCGCAACTTGTTACGGAGAACCGCCGCATGGAGATGCTCCTTTCACTTGAGTAGTGATGCCTGGTGGGGGAGCGCCGTGGTGGGGATCACAACGGTGAGTGAGTGCAGTGCGCCAGCCACCACACTCATTCTACTTTCAGATTGCATCGTTGTAGGTTTCTCTTCGTTACAGGTCTCTTCCCTCCAGGTCTTTCTCTCCTCTAGGTCTTTGTTTCTTTCTCTTCTCCAGGTCTTTCTTTCCTCCAGGTCTTTCTCTCCTCTAGGTCTTTGTTTCTTTCTCTTCTCCAGGTCTTTCTTTCCTCCAGGTCTTTCTCTAAATTTTTTCTTTCTTTTCACCAGGTCTTTCTCTCCTCTAGGTCTTTGTTTCTTTCTCTTCTCCAGGTCTTTCTTTCCTCCAGGTCTTTCTCTCCTCTAGGTCTTTGTTTCTTTCTCTTCTCCAGGTCTTTCTTTCCTCCAGGTCTTTCTCTAAATTTTTTCTTTCTTTTCACCAGGTCTTTCTCTCCTCTAGGTCTTTGTTTCTTTCTCTTCTCCAGGTCTTTCTCTCCTCTAGGTCTTTGTTTCTTTCTCTTCTCCAGGTCTTTCTCTAAATTTTTTCTTTCTTTTTACCAGGTCTTTGTTTCTTTTTCTTCTCCAGGTCTTTCTCTAAATTTTTTCTTTCTCTTCTCCAGGTCTTTCTTTCCTCCAGGTCTTTCTCTCCTCTAGGTCTTTGTTTCTTTCTCTTCTCCAGGTCTTTCTTTCCTCCAGGTCTTTCTCTAAATTTTTTCTTTCTTTTCACCAGGTCTTTGTTTCTTTCTCTTCTCCAGGTCTTTCTCTAAATTTTTTCTTTCTTTTCACCAGGTCTTTGTTTCTTTCTCTTCTCCAGGTCTTTCTCTAAATTTTTTCTTTCTTTTCACCAGGTCTTTGTTTCTTTTTCTTCTCCAGGTCTTTCTCTAAATTTTTTCTTTCTTTTCACCAGGTCTTTGTTTCTTTTTCTTCTCCAGGTCTTTCTCTAAATTTTTTCTTTCTTTTCACCAGGTCTTTGTTTCTTTCTCTTCTCCAGGTCTTTCTCTAAATTTTTTCTTTCTTTTCACCAGGTCTTTGTTTCTTTTTCTTCTCCAGGTCTTTCTCTAAATTTTTTCTTTCTTTTCACCAGGTCTTTCTTTCTTTCTCTTCTCCAGGTCTTTCTCTAAATTTTTTCTTTCTTTTCACCAGGTCTTTGTTTCTTTCTCTTCTCCAGGTCTTTCTCTAAATTTTTTTTTCTTTTCACCAGGTCTTTGTTTCTTTCTCTTCTCCAGGTCTTTCTCTAAATTTTTTCTTTCTCTTCACCAGGTCTTTCTCTCTAAATTTTTCTTTCTTTCCTCCAGGTCTTTATTCTCTCTTTCTCGTATAGATCTTGTTTCTCTTTCACTCTTACAGATCTTTTTTCTGTTTATTTTAATTTTTTATTTCTAAAATTAATTTTATTCATTATTAAAAAAAATTTCTTTTCTTTTAGAAAAAAATAATAATGAATCCATATAATCCTCCATCCAATTGCCAAAATCAGCTAGAGGAAGAAGAAGAAAATGAAATTACTATTTTTGACGATAGTAGTCATGATGAGGATGATGATGATGATGATGATGATGATGATCATGTCGATGATGCGTCCATGATCATCATTTATGATGAGTATGCTCATAACAATTATGAGGATGACGACGACGACGACGACGACGGATACGACAGTGTGGGGGAGACAATCATCATCAGCGATGATGATGATGATGATGACGACGTCCTGATAATAGATATCGATCCTAAGGAAGTTAGTTGATACTTTTTATTCTATTTTAAATTAACTTAAAAAAAAAATATTACTTTCATTTAAATTAACTTTAACCATATTTTTAATTTTTTAGATGTCGGAGTATATTGAAGATTATCATGAAAATTATTAAATTTTATTTTAAATAAAAAGAAATATTTTTTAAATTAAAGCATTAATTTTATTTCCTTAAATTTTATCGCGCATGGTGTAAGCGCATATTAAGGTGGGGATAATTTGCGTGCGCATTCGAAAGTGTAGTGGGGTTAGAGAAAGAGTGGGGGTTGCAGCAATATAAGGCGAGTTTCAAAGCCACCAAGTCATTATTATTTCAGGTTCTTGAATTAGCAGTAAGTATAAACATTAATCTATTTTCTAAGTTCCTTTTTTTTCAGCTTTATTTTCTAAGTTTCATTTTCAGCTTTATTTTCTAAGTTTCTTTTTCAGCTACATTTTTTCTAAGTTTCTTTTTCAGCTTTATTTTCTAAGTTCCTTTTTCAGATACATTTTTTCTAAGTTTCTTTTTCAGCTTTATTTTCTAAGTTCCTTTTTCAGATACATTTTTCTAAGTTTCTTTTTCAGCTTTATTTTCTAAGTTTCATTTTCAGCTTTATTTTCTAAGTTTCTTTTTCAGCTACATTTTCTAAATTTCTTTTTCAGCTTCATTTTTTCTAAGTTTCTTTTTCAGCTACATTTTCTAAGTTTCTTTTTCAGCTACATTTTTTCTAAGTTCCTTTTTTTTCAGCTTTATTTTGTAAGTTTATTTTTCAGCTACATTTTCTAAGTTTCTTTTTTCAGCTACATTTTTCTAAGTTTCTTTTTTTTTCAGCTTTATTTTCTAAGTTTCTTTTTCAGCTACATTTTTCTGAGTTTCTTTTTCAGCTTTATTTTCTAAGTTCCTTTTTCAGCTTTATTTTCTAAGTTTCTTTTTCTAAGTTAGTTTTAAAAACTAATAATTTTTTTTTATTACAGTTCTTTGTTTTCTCTTCTTTTGTTTAAGGTTTTCTTCCAGTTTAAAAAAAAAAAAAAAATGGATTTAGAAAAAGTCAACTCCGTAGGGCGTTTTGAAGGTTACCTGCCGACGAAGCCGCTCGCGGAATTGATGAAAGATGGACTGTACTACGTCTCAAAGATGAAGAAGGTCCAGACCAAATATGGACCAAGGATCATTGTCGAAATTGATGCTGATTTCGTCACATACTTACCAACAAGATTCATCAAGCTCTTTGAGGATGAACCAACCACCTTGGACATGATGAAAGAAGCTGCGATATCGAAAAAACTTCAAATGAAGTATCTTGGAGGACCATATAATATTGTCGAATTTAAATTGTTACAATAAATTGTAAAAAAGAAAATGTATATATATATATTGTAAAAAAAATTTTGATAAAATAAACACACAAAGTTTTACCTATAAATTGGTTTTAAATTTACTTTCCTTCTCTTAGTATAAGTTATTTTTCAGAATTAGAATAAGTTTTATTTTCAGAAATTATAAAAGAATTTAAATTAAATTTCAAAGGATAGGTTGTTTTTGAAATTAAGAAGCATTGTTTTAAATTCATAACATTTATTTTTGATAACTTAATAACTAAATTTTAGAAAAAAGATTCACAATTTTCATAAAAAGATTTTAAAGTAGAGTCAGTTTCATCAATTCCATTAGAAATAGCACTTATATATTGGTTTGGAGGATCCAAAAACCAATCGCGTAGAATTTTAACATTTTTTACAGCACAATTTTCACTACAAAAAGTATGATGCGTACACGTCGTTAATAAATCAGACTTAATTTTTTTCAACGATGGACAATTAAAATCTTCCAAGTTTTGTACGTTGAGTAAATATTTTTCTAGCCAATTCTTTTTTTCTAAACCTTTAACGTAAATTACACTTGCACTTCGAAGTATATCTTGTAGAATTGGTCGAAGTTCATCGTATGAGACGTCTCCAGCTGTCCAATGGATTTCATGGTAATTATGTGTTAGCCAAAGATTTTCACTTTTGTAGCGTCCTGCCAGTGAATTCCAAGGACAAGGAGGTTCAAAAAGATAAACGAGAGGCTGTGCATCTGGTTGAAGAGGAAGTATCGCCAACTCTTTAAAGACAAACTCGTTGTTGGCTCTTTTAAAACCTTGAACGTCTACGATAAACTCCATTTTTTAAGCAGAAATGAATTTCTAGCCGAGAGCAGCTGCTTTTATAGTAATCACCTCCCACCACTACCACATTATCCCCACTCCTTTACAATAGTTTCTTTACAACGCCGCTGATTGGCTTATATTGTATGACGCGGTCATGGATGATTAGGCAATAGGCGGTGGTCTCGGCTGGCATGTTGATTCCT